CTCAAGCAAATCAATGAACAACAGGAGGACAGTGCTACAGTTTAATAATTTCAAATATTTTTTAAATATTTGTAATTTCCAGATTTATAATCTAAAGATATTAAGGGCATTCCTATATAGACATTTGTTAGTTTTGTTTTGCTTTAAGTCACACTTGGTGGAGCTCAGGGCTTGCTCTTGGTGGTCTCTGGGACATTTGGGATACCAGGGATCACCCAGGTTGACTGCCTGCAAGGCAAATCCCCAACCCACTGTACTATCCTCTACTCCCACCCCCATAAGACTTTGGTGAACATTTGCATACATTTCTGTAGAAATGAGATTTCTAAGTCATATAGCTTATGTATTGATAAACTGGCAAACAGCTTTTTTAAATGTATGTATCGATAAAATGTGTGGAAATATGTGTACTGATATACTGGTAATCAGTTTTTAAAAAAACGTGTGTGAATAAGTGTATTGATAAACTTGTAAACAGTTTTTTTAAAACTTGATAAACTGGCAAACAGCTTTTTAAAATATTTGTACCGATTAACATCCCACCAGCAACATATGAGTATCAGAAAGATCTTTCACCATTTCTGTCACTTATAAAGTGTAATAAGGACTTTCTAAAGTATGAAAGTTTTAAATCTATTGGAATAAGAATAACAAAATCTGAAATGGAATCTTCTATCTGGAAATTCTCATGAGAGGCAACATATAAGCTACTCAGGATCTACAGCATTATCAGAAAGGTTCTTCTTTAGCTTTCTGGGACAACAAAATGCTTATCAACTTTGACATAGGTTTCAACGGACCCAACCACAAGGGATCAATGTCTCTCTTTCCCTTGGCCTGTAATTCAAACCTTACAATGATCAAGGGAAGGGAGGGAGTGTCAGAAACGTGAGCCTGTGTACAGTTCATTCATAACAAGCATTTAATACCCACAGTGTGCTGCACCTGCTGGACACAATGGTAAAGAAGGATGTGGAAGAGTCCTATGACCCTTGTTCTAGGATCATCTCAAGTGTGCATTGCAACAGTTTTCCCACCCTCTGAGGTCCAGATCAGGAAGGAAAGGGGTAAAAAAGCAGATCTGAAGGGCCAAAGCGATAATAAAGCAGGTAGGGCATTAGGCTGCATTGTATGCAGGGTTTGGTCTCTGACCTCCCATATGGTTCCCCGTGCATAGCCAAAAGTTATTCCTGAATGCAAAGCTAGGAGTTATCCCTGAGCATCACCGGGTGTAGCCAAAAAAAAAAAAAAAAGGAAGGAAGGAAGGAAGGAAGGAAGGAAGGAAGGAAGGAAGGAAGGAGGGAGGGAGGGAGGGAGGGAGGGAGGGAGGGAGGGAAGGAGGAAGGGAGGGAGGGAGGGAGGCAAGCAGGTTTGAAGAGACCGACAGAATTTTCCCCAATTCTCAGTTCATGAGATTTGAGAGTGCTGACCTCATCCCCTTTCCGAGCTGAGCAGAGAGTGATTGACAATGGAGGATGCAGCTCAGTGGTATAGCAGAGAGAGAGAGAGAGAGACAGAGACAGAGATAGAGACAGAAACAGAGACAGAGAGAGATTATGCAGATATCAGACTTTTGTCAACAGAAACCCAGAAAAGAAACTGACAGCTAAGGATGAGATGTGAAGTTGTAAGCAGTCATTCTGACACTTCATGGGGAAAAGTCAGTTAGAGATTAAAATGTCAACACAAAGAAAAACACCTAGAAAATGAAAAATAAAGACTGAACTAGTCTGTCATAGTTTTAAGCTCCTGTCTCCAGCGATGCCTGAAGCCTTTTTGAACTTTTCTGTCCCATGAATCAATAAATTTCATTTGTTGTTTAACCCAGTTTGAGTGATACATTGCACACAGGCATGCACACACGTTGAATAATATTTAATACTTAGCCCCCAAACCAACAAAAAGGTATACCCATATCTTCAAGTATGTCATCATTTCTATGGCATGCCCTTTCCCACGTCCCTCTCCCACCCACCCACCCACCCATAAAAACTATTTTATTTTCTTCTTTTTGTTTTTTCATTGGGGGGGGGGGGGGGGTTGAAGGCCAAAAAGCTCAGGGACCATTTTTTTTTATAAGTTTTATTGTATCACTGTGAGATAGTTACAAACTTGCATGATTATGTTTCAGTCATACAATGCTCCAGCACCCATCCCTTCAACAGTGTACATTTTCTGCCACCATTGCTCCCAGTGTGCTTCCCGCCACCCCGACCCCATCGCACTTCCTGCCTCTGTGGCAAGTACTTCTTACTCTCTCTTTAATTTTGGGCGTTATGATTTACAATACAGATACTAAAAAGCCATCATGTTTGGTCCTTGGTCTACTTTCAGCACATATCTCCCATCCAGGTGATCCCTCCAATCATCATTTACTTAGTAGTTCCTTCTCCATCCCAACTGCCTTTCCCCCAGCATGTGGGATCAGCTTCCAAACCGTGGTGTGGTCCTCCCGGCCAGTATCTCTACTGTCCTTGGGTGTTAGTCTCATATTATGCTACTTTATATTCACAAATGAGTGCAGTCATCCTATGACTGCCCCTCTCTTTCTGACTAACGTCACTTAGCATGATATTCTCCATGTCCATCCACTTACATGCAAATTTCATGATACCAGAGTTTCTTTAACCAGTCACCTGTTCTCAGGCACTCGGGCTTTTTTCCAGATTCTGGCTATTGTGAACAGTGCTGAAATAAACATGCGAGTGCCTATGTCATTTCTGCTGTGGTTTTTTTGCATCTTTGGGATATATTCCCAGGAGTAGGGACTATTCTTGACTCTGCTCCGGTGATTTGATTCCTGGCAGTGCTAGGGAATCAAATCTTGATTAGCTGCAGGCAAGGCAAGCAGCTTACCCTGTTCTATCTCTCTGGCCTCTCAATTATCCTCTTAACTATAGTCTTCCCTCAAATTTCCAGGTAGTTTCCCCATTTTGTTAGTACTTTTCAAATGTCTTTATTAGGGAATTATAAAATTCTATCAAAATTCATTGTTCACTTACCTTTCTTCCCTGCTTGTGAGCCCTTATAAGGGTGTTTTTTTTTTTAAATAAATCTCACCCTAAAAATAAATAAATCTCACCCTTATTAGTCTAGTGTCCAGGACAGGGCTAATGCTCAGAGAAAGTGTGGGTTAAGCAGAGCTAACAAGTCTTTTTACTTTAAGATCCATCTCAGTGTTAAAAGTGCATTACGGGGGCTGGAGCAATAGCACTGCGAGTAGGGCATTTGCCTTGCATGTGTGGGACCTGGGTTCGATTCCCAGCATCCCATATGGTCTCCTGAGCACCGCCAAGAGTAATTCCTGAGTGCAGAGCCAGGAGTAACCCCTGAGCATTTCTGGGTGTGACCCAAAAAAGCAAAAAAATAAAAAATGAAAGTGCATTATGGATCCCTATGCAGTGGGACAAAAAAGCTGTTTTCAAGCGTTTTTGAGCTTAAGAGCCCAATTTTTTAAAGAAGTTGCTGTGGTAGGGAATTTACTGCAGCATTTAGGATGGCCTTGACAAAACAAATGACTCTCCATGCATTATTTGTTAAAAGGGAAAGATGTGGGGAGAGGGGGGACAGGCGGTCCAGTGTTGGACTGAAGAAACACAAGAAGCAAGAGTGGGTGATCTAGCGGAGCTGATGGGGGTGATCAATTGTTAAAAGAATAATTGAGCTCATAATCTAAACCCGTCTCTTTACTTTAAACATAACAGAGATAGGAAGGTTGGGGGTTGGAGAGATATACTAGTGAGGAAGACACTCACCTAGTGCGAAGCTGACTGCCAGTTCCACCACCCACAGGGTCCCCTGAGCACTACTGGGTCTGACCCCAAAAGCAAAAAATCAAAAACAAGAAGCACGTAACAGAGATCAGATAGATTCTGCACACTTTAATCCTCTTCTGACCCCTAACCCAGGTGCCTGACAGCAATTTTCAGTTCACTTCTCTTGGCTCTGAAGTGATCATGAGAAGATCAAAGCTGGTTTTCCTTGTCCTGCACGCCCTTAATACAAATTCCCTTCCTGTTCTGAGCCTCTGTTTCCTTCTCAAGAACTAAGGGAAGAGACACAGGCTCGTTTCCAAGCCTGGCTCAGATGACTTGCAGAACAGTAACGAAAACATCTGCAAAGGAAGCCCCATCCTACCACTGAACTTTGGACAGCTCACTGAAAAGCTTAGACCCTGGCTTTTCCCGCTTGCAGAGTAGGCATAAATGTGCCCCAGGGCTTCTGAGAATCGGGCAAGGCTGTGTTTCGTAAACGGAAAATAAAGCATTAGAAATGTCAATATTATCAGTGTTGTTCATAAGGAGAGAAAGGACGGAGGAGAGAGGGGGAGGAGGGCGGGGTGATGGAGGAGGGGAGAAAAGGCGGGGCCGGGGGCGGTGGAGCGTATCGCCCGCTCTCTGAGTGCCCCCCCCAATAGCTCTAGGCTACTTACAAGCTTTCCTCGAGCAATCAAACCCTTGCAAGCCCTCCTCATCTAATAAAAATAACTGGTTCGCCGGTAACCGGGAGGTTAAATGAGGCGAAGCTCCCAGAGCACGCGGCGCAGTGTACATAGTAACTGGCTTTGGTAAACGCTCATTATTGGGACTATACCCCGATCCCGATAACGGGGTGAGCGAGGAAAAGGAGATAAACTATTTGGGGTCGTGGCAGGAGACTAGAGGTCGTCAAAGATCCAGTCCTCGGAGTACGTTAGGACCCCCGCCCCTGCGTGCCAGGCTGAGCAGGTCCCAGCGTCCCCAAACCACTACCAGCCGGGTCCAGAAATGCAAGCGACGCGGGCCGAGAGCACGCGCGCCCGCGGCCAGACCCCCGGCCCAAGGCCGCCGGCGAGAGGCGGGGCCGCTTCCTGCCGCCGCCCGGCCGGCCGGCGCGCCCCCGCCCGGCCCACCGCGCGCCCCCGCCCCGCCCGCGCGCCCCCGCCCCGCCCGCGCGCCCCCGCCCCGCCGCCGCCCTCGGGCGCCTGCGCGGCGCGCACTCCGCCGGCGGAGGGGGCGGGGCGGAGCGAGGCGGGGCCGCACGGGCACGGGCGGGGGCGCGCTCAGAGGTGGCGGCTCCGCTTGGCCCGGACGCAGCTGGCGCCCTCGGCGGAGGCGGCCGCAGCAGCCGGCGTCGAGGGCGTGGCTGCGAGGGTGCGGGTCGGTGCGGCTCTGAACCCCGGCAGCAGCCCGACACCTTTCCCCGAGCCCCGCTGCTCCTCGCGGCGCTGCCCGGCTTCCCGCGGAGCTCCGTCGGGTCGCTCCGGCCTCTGCCCGGCCAGCCTTCCTGCAGCCGCCGAGCACGCAGGTGAGTCTTTGCCTCCGTAGGGTGGGGCCAGCGTCGGGCTTCTCCCTGCAGGTTTTGCAGCCCGCTCGCCCCGGAGAGGATTGCGGGGAAGGAGGGTGAGAAAAGTTAACCAAGAGTGGAAACGGTCCGCAGATGCCAGGGAGGGGTGGGCGTTCCAGTGTCCGGAGCCCTAACGGTGCTGTCGCCGCGTCCTTACTGCGGGGTCCAGCCCCTGTCGTGCCCGGGGTGGCGTCTTGGAAAACAGGACCAAGGCAATTGTTCCCTCCTCTCGCTCCATCAGCAGTTTGAAAAGAGGCCGGTCCCTGTGGGTAAAACGGGGACGGCCTGACGTGGAAGCCCCTTCTCTCCCCGCCCCCCACCTCCGCGCTGTGTGCGGATTACCTTGGCTTTTACTAGTTCATTAACTTCTAGAAACTTGTCTGCTTCCATCCGGTGCCTGGATGCGGGCAGCAGTAGCGCTGTTTACATGTTGCTTAGTCCCAGCTTCCTGTGCGAAATCAGATCATCGCCTTCAGGAATTAGGGGTCTGGTGTAAAAATAAGGATTATCTAAAGCCGTGTTCCACTGTAGTGCTCAAATGAAAATTACTTGCTCCCCCTTAAAGAAAGTTACCTAGCACATCACTTTTTTTTTCTTTCATTTTTCTTTTTCCTTTTTCCCTAGCACTTCACGTTTATTTGAGCTTGTCCTAGAATTCTTCCATTTTAAAGAAAAATCTCGTGCTTGGGAAGAGAAGCAACTCACTGTGACTACATGTGATTTGAAATGATTTTCAGACACTTCATTAAGCTCCTACTCAATATTGTGATTTACAAACACAGAATTAGGATATAAACGTGTGTACAATGTGTGCATTCTGCATTTTGGTAGGATTTTGTAATGTGGTGCCCTAGAAATAAACAATTTGGGACTAGGTCTCAAAACCAGTGCTTAGGGACCTGGGGGCCACCCTTCCCCAGACCCACACCTAAACTTGACTGGTTCAGTACCTGCCAGCCTTTGCGTGTGGCGGGGAGTGGCGAGTTTTTAGTGCCAGAGATAGAACTTGGCCTCTTGTGCCAGACACTGCTCTCCTGCGCCTTTTGAGTGCTCTCTGGACCCTAGAAATGAACTTTCCATGCAGGGAAATGCCTTGAAACAGTAGTTCTTCAGCCAAATGCTAACTGTGTTTTGCTTCTATGCTTCTTAGATTGAGAAGAGAAATTCTCAAACTTTTAAAGAACAGGAAAAGATTTTTCCTACTTGAGTTGTAATATTTATAGTTTTTAAAATATGAATGGTAAGGCTTCCAGGGAATAAAATTTGTATGGTGTTAGTGGCTTTATTCGTTGAGATTTAAACAAAATATTACAAAAAGCAATGTCATTTGGAGATCCATTAGGCCACAATTTGTGAAATACCACCAGTTTGTGAATCACTACCATTTATGGCCCAATAAACAAACTTTAAAGTGCAGTATCATTTTTTAAGTTAAATCTCAGTAAACCATAGCAGGTAGAGATCAGACTAGACTGGGTCTCCATATTTCTCCTAGATTGAAGAGGTTATACTGAGGGAAAATGAGTTATATACAGCCAAACAAACAACATTTGGCTTTCGTATCTCTACTTCAGTATTCTCTAAAGCTGATTTGTGCATGTTATGGCAGTTCTGATTTGTTGGTGCTGTTTCTTTTTGGGGGTTTAGAAATACTTCTATTCCTGGTGGAGCACTGGACCTCAGTAATCATAATAAAATCAGTTCGGATTATGAAAAGAGGGCAGAGGTCACTGGAACCTACAAAGCATAGAAATCTGACTTTTACCTAGTTTTAGGAGAAATTGCACCAGAATTTTTACCACAGCATTACAACAGAGTCAAATTTCTACCTGTAAGTGGTTAATGAAGAGGAAGTTTGAAGGTTTTCAAGAAAGTCCCTCGTTGACAATGCTGAGGTATAAAGAAATTTAGTCTAAACTTATAATTTAGGGGGCTGGAGAGACAGTATAGGAAGTAGGGCTCTTACCTTGCCTGTGACTGACCCTTGTTTGAATTCCTGGCATTACATGTGGTCCCTCAAGCACTACCAGGGGTCCCTTCCGAGCATACAGCCAGGAATAGCCACCCCCTATTAACAGCCACCCCCTATTATGACCCAGTAAACAAAAAGTAAATTTATGACTTGGGATTTTTTTTTCTTGTTTTTCTTGGGATGGATTCCCAAGCTGTACTCTGGGGGACCCCAGCACCCACTCCCAGTGATACCTGGTCTGACTGTGAGGTTTGGGTCAGTGCTTGCTGGGCCATGTTATGTCAGGGGTAGGACTGGGGCCTAGCAAATGCAGGGCATGACTACAGCCTTTTGAATTATCTTCGTGGCCCTAGAATTCAGAAGGTTTTGAGAAGAGTTGAATGGTTCAGCAACATCTGTATTTTTCTTATCTTATAGATGCAAAACCAAATATAAAACAAAAAGCTAAGTGACTTTTCTAAGGTTATTCAACAGGGCACTTGAGAAATAAATGGGTCCTTGTTTGCTTCCAGTGTTTGTTCAGTAGCATTTTGAGCACATGACAGAATGATATGATACAGTGCATCTGGCTAAGCTATTTAAAATGGTCATCAAGTTGAGAAGCATCGTACTTCGAAAAAATTATTTTTCAAAAAATACTAGAGGAGACATTTGCATTTTCGTGACCAGAATTTGAAATGCAAAGTCAAATCCATGCACTTTATTTTGTCTTGATAGAGGACTTTTGTCACAGGCCTGTTGTAACAGAGCAGATGGTAGTGCTGGTTGGAGTTTTCCACTCATTTGATGTTTCCATGAAGAAACAATTTGCCAGAAGCCAACAGCAGCTACTGTTGCGCTGGAGATGATGCTAACCCCTGATTAGCACAGACCTTTGCTTACCGAAGCTGGAGGATATTGGTTCAGCCCTTCTGTTGAACCAGTCAGATTTCCCTGCCTCAATAAATAGAGGCACAGGTTGGTTGTCCTAGATGAAGTGGGCAGAGTTAGCCACAATTACAATTACAGTTAGCAGCATAGAACCAACATGTAGGCTATATTTATGTGGGGGTGGGGATGGGGGTGGGGGCAAGTGGGGGAGAGAGAGACAGAGAGACCCGCATTGTAATTTTTCCTTAATACAGTGGGACCAAGTTTTAAATGCCAGTTATCTTATGTTTTTATTGTAAATATGCTAGGACTGTCGTTTTCACCAGCTGATTTGAATTGGCTTTTTCACAATTTAGCTATATTTGTGATGTCAGAGTAAGAAATGGTTGGCAGTGTGGACTATGTTCATAAAACTAGATTATGACTCACTTTAAGCAAGAGAAGTATCATCTGCGTGATAATGATAATTAGCATCAAATGCTGTGTGCACTGTATCACAGTGTAGCAGCCGGCAGGGCATTTGCCTTGCATGTGGCTGATCTAGGTTGGATCCCTGGCATCCCGTATGGTCACCCAACCCCACCAGGAGTGATCCCTGAGCACAGAGGCAGGAGTAAGCCTTGAACACAGCTGGGAGCTGTGGTGCAGCCCCAAAATATAATAATAATATATTGTAATTATTTTGATTTTAATTTTTTTTATTTGCCACACCCAGTGGTGCACGGGTGCTATCCCCAATTTGTTCTTGGGGGTTATCCCCAGCAGTGCTTGAGACACTGTGTGGTGCAGGGGTTCAACCCTACGCCTCCTGCATGTAAAACGTGTGTCCAGCCCTTTGAGCTATTTCTCCAGTTCTGGTTTTATATTGCTCACTTTGTTGCATGGAACTAGATCATTTTGGAATATATTTTTGTTTTTTTAGTAACAGTTCCACCAATGGTTCTGATATCGTGGTTCTTCCAATCCAACAACAAATTGACATGTATCATAGCTATATATAAAGAATTAATTGGGGCTGGAGTGCTTGCACAGTGGGTAGGGCGTTTGCCTTGCACGCGGCCGACCCAGGTTCAATTCCCAGCATCCCATATGGTCCCCTGAGCACAGCCAGGACTAATTCCTGCATGCAGAGCCAGGAGTAATTCTTGTGTGTGACACCCCCCCCCATAAAAAAAGAAAAAAGAATTAATTGGGGCCCGAGGAGTAATACAATGGGTAGGGCATTTGCCTTGCATGAGGTTAACCACTGGATTTGATCCCTGGCATCACATTCCTGAGCATGGAGCTAGGAGTCACCCCTGAGCATTGTTGGGTATGGATTCCCCCCTACTCCCCCGAGTAAAAGAAGAATTAATTGGATTGGAGGCTGGAGACACAGTACAGCAGGTAATGCACTTACTTGTCTTGCCTGCAGTCAACCCAGATTTGATCCCTGGCACAACAAGTACTGCCAAGAGTGATCTCCAAGTACAGAGCCAGGAGTAAACCCTGAGTAGTGTGCCCATACCAGAAAACGGAATTACTTGAGCATCATATGAAAGCATTCTTAGCCTTAGCATATATATTCTTAGCCTCAGATATCTTTACTGGGGAAGGATTACTTTATCTCCATTGTCCAAGTGAGGAAATATAGACGGTGACTTACATAATAGATTTTTTTTAATGGTTTGTTTTTTGTTATTGTTGTTTTTGTAGTGCCAAGTATCAAACCCAGGGAAAGTTTGCAAGACAAGTATTCAACCACTAAAGTACATACTAGCCGAGATAATATTATACCAATGTTAGATGACCTATTTGATCATTGTACTATGTGTAAATGAAAGAAAATTATCTTGTTATTCATTCATTCATTCATCATCCTGTTAATCGTCGATTGCCTCGAGCAGGCCCCAGTAACGTCTCTTTCATCCTAGCCCTGAGATTATATTCAAGGCTTTTTAGGAGAATGAGACCCATCATTGTTACTGGTATTTGGCATATTTGGTGCGCCACGGGGAGTTTGCCAGACTCTGCCCTGTGGGCAGGCTATATTCGATCTTGTTATTAAACAGTAACATATTAGAAATAAAGGGGGAGGGATCACACGACATCTTACCCTAATAATTCAGAGAAAACATGCATGTATGTATGGGGCTAGAGAGATACTTCAGTGGGAAAGGTGCTTGCCTTACATGTGGCTGACCCAGGTTCAACCCCCAACGTCCCATATGGTCCCCAGAGCACTCGGAGTGATTCCTGAGTGTAGAACCAGAGACCTGAGCATTGTCAGGTATGGCTCTCCTTCTCTCCAAAACAAGAGAAGAAAACACACATGTATGCATACATTTACAGAGAGAAGGTGGAGGGTTGAGAATGAGAAAATGATTTTGGGAAAGGGCATATGTTCCCTCATTTGAGGTTATAGGACAGATTCCTTGCTTCCTCTCTTTGCCCTTTCTCCCATCTCTTATCCTAGTGTCTTTTTTTGTTGGTTTTTGTTTTTGTTTTTTATCTCTGCTTGGTCATTTAATCCTAGAGTCTGTTGTGGGTTTTTGTTGTTGTTGCTGTTGTTGTTGTGTAGTTTTGGGACCACACCCAGCCATGCTCAGGGCTTACTCCTGATTTTACTCTGTGCTCAGGATCATTCTTGGTGGTGCTCTGGTGCGAGGGATCAATCCTGGGTCTACAGCATGCAAGGCAAGTTATTTACTCACTCTGCTAGCTCTCTGGCCCTTTTTTCTGGGATCATTTGTTTAAAAAGAAAAGAATTTAAAATAATAACAAATACAAAAATGCGGGACATAAGTAATAGCTCTGGGTAAAGGGCATACAGGAACTCCTTATTTTAAGCTTAAAACGTTTTTTTGTTTGAAATACTTGTCAAGTGGAAAAAAAAGACACAAAAGTAAAAATACCAAACAGGAAGTGAAGGTGTAACATTCTAAGAAGTTGTTTGAGTTAGGTAAAGGATAGTTTCCTGTACTGATTTTTTTCTTTTGCTTTTTTTCCACTTTTTAGGAGTTGGAAGAAATTTGAAACAAAAAAACTTACCAAAATAGTTTGACTTACTCAAATTTTAAAACCTGGTCTTTCAGTCCTTCCTAACTTTTCCATCTTCAAAAAGCCAGGTGTGTTTTTGTTTTGTTTTGTTTTGTTTTATTTTTATCTTTCTTATTTTCCTTAGTTTTGGGTTTAATCTTCATACCAGCCTGTACTAAAGGAACTATGCAGTGCTAGGGATTGAATCCAGGTCTATGTATGTATTACTGCCTTTTGAGCTATCTCTTCAGCCTCTTTTGAACTGGGCCTAGGAAATAGAAGCACTAGTGCCTTTAGGAAATAGCATATAATGACAGTCCACTGTTACTGATCCTGAAAGTCAAATTAGGTTTCTCATATCACTTATCACCTAAAAATCTTCAGTGCATGCTGAGAGTGACTAGGTTTTATGTCTGAACTCTTCCCCTTATTCTTCTCAGTGCTTACAGGGGCCTGGGGCCTCCCCTGGTGATACTCGACCAATTGACTACACCAGCCAGCACTGCTTGTACCCAGAGGTACTGGGGACCACCAGGACCATACAGGGGAAAGGGTTGCAGGCTATACCTCGAGGTACTCAGGAATGAGGTCAGTGCCAGAAGAAAGGGCAAAGATCCTGGCGGCAGTCCAAGTGCCCAGGCATGAACAGAGTTGAGCCTTGGAAATGAGCGCAGCCAACACAGGTTCTGCTTTGCAGGGAGCTGGTGGGGAAGGTGAGCCTGGAGGAAATGAGGGATCTGGATTGAGGGTTTTCCTTTTTCCATACAACACGCTCTGAACCAGGTATATTAGCTGGGGAAAGGGACAGGTGGACAATGGGGAATGGAAAGTCAGCAGTCACTGCATGAAACAGGATCCTCTTAGGGAGATTTATTTATTGACTCCAAATGTTGGGGTGCTCCCACTAAACATTTTTGCTTTGGTGGGAGCCCCTTGAGGATAGGAACCCCATGTCTTAGTCATCAAATGTCTCCGGCATGTGATACACATTCAGAAAATGTTTAGAATTAGTAAAGATTTTACTTTTAATAGTTTTTGTCCAATGCGCCAGAGTGATACTACAATGGGTAGGGCAATTTCCTTGTGTACAGGTTCTGTCCCAGGCATTCTATTGATCCTTTGAGCACTGCCAGGAATTATCACTGAACGCAGGGCCAGGAATAAGCCCTGAACACAGCCAGATGTGGCACCACCACCCACAAATAGTTTTCATCCTATAGTAATTAGCATTCTGTAAGGCCTTATACAAGCAATGTATTTGCTGTCATTGGTTTTATTTTTGTTCTGGGACTATACCTAGTCTGGGCGCTACTGACTCAGTGCTTAGGGATCTCAGTGCTCAAATTCAGGGCGTCTGTACACAAAGCATATGCTTCCACCATTTGCACCATTTTCTGGACCTCTTCAATCTTCTGTTTTTAAATAAAAGGGAAAAACACAAATTAGGTAGTATTGAGGTGGTGTCATGATCAGTTGATTTTTTTTATGCAATGTAAATATTTACTAGATCTCACGTCAGAATTTTGAAATGTGTTTTGCCCAAGACAGTCTGGTAGGTACAGATCTTGGGAGGAGACAGACAAACACTTCAGCTGTCCACCTAAGACAAAGTGTTTTCCATTACTGAACACAGAAGCACTCACTGCTCCTTGCCTTGGGGTTCAGAATTAAAGTTCAGGAAAAGGACATGCCTTTGACCATCCTTTGTCAAGTTCTGTAAATATTTCCGGTATCAACATAGGTCCACCTTATATAGAACTACTAGTTTGTGTAACTTAGTACTGCGGGAGAGTATTCAAAAAGAGCAGATTGGTTAAGAACGCCATAATCAGCTCATCACAGAGAATATTTCAGGGTGCAGATGGTGAGTGAATCAGCGTGGGTTTTGTTCTGCTATGCCACTTTCAGTCTAGACCTAAACCCAAAACAAATATGCCAAGGCACTTCTGGTTCACATTTCCCTTCCCACTGCTTGTAAACCAGTGTATATGTTGATGTTATCTGAGTTTGTATGAAAAGAGCTCTTTCCCTCCCAATTTTATGAGAAAACTTTTGCTTTGTTTTGTTTTCGTAATGTGTCAATGCCAGGGAAATGGATTGCATACTATATAAGATATGCTAAGCGAATCCAATTAGTGTCTATAGAATTCATTTTGGAGTACTGTAATGAGTTGATTTCATCACTGATTTATCATTCCTGAACAAAATTGCTGTGTTTGATGAATCTTCAGGATTGATCAGATCATTATTTGGCCTTATCCCCATGTTCTGTTTTATTTTGTTCCTTGCAGTAGATGCCTGGTAGACAAAACTTGAGGAAGGGAAAAGTGCCACCTATTGGGAGCCATGCTGAGGGACACAGTGAAATCCTGGAATGACAGCCAGTCGGATCTCTGCAGCAGTGATCAAGAAGAGGAGGAAGAGATGATCTTTGGCGAGAACGAAGATGACTTAGAAGAGATGATGGATTTAAGTGATCTGCCTACCTCACTTTTCGCTTGCAGTGTCCATGAAGCAGTGTTTGAAGTGCAGGAGCAAAAGGTAGGCACACTCTTGTCTTTTCCTGCACTGGGGAGCGTGTGGATTTTGGGGGACACAGGAGCTAGCTCACCCTTAGCAAAGTCTGTCGCTGATCCGTGGCAAGGTCACAGTCTACAGCAACCTTTAGATCTTGCTGTAATGTTTTTATTATTGTTTTGGGGTTTTTTGTTTGTTTGGTTGGTTTTTGTAAGTATCAGTCTAAGACAAAGAGGAAGTATTTAAAGATCTGGTCTTTACCCACAAATATTTTGAGTAGAATGGTTTGTGAACTCTGGATAGGTCCTAGTAAATTTGTTCATTTATTCATTCAATTTTGGAGCCTGCCAGAACAAATCTTGTTGGTTTTTATTTTGTTATTTATTTTTCAGTGCTAAGGATAGAAGGTTTTCATATAAAATAATTATTTAAGGGAAAGTGGGAGCAATAGTACGGTGTGCAGGGCACTTGCCTGGTATGCAGTCAAAAATGACAAGTTGATCCCCAGCATTCCTTATGATCCTTGGAGCACAACCAGGAGCAATTCCTGAGTGCAGAACCAGGAGTAACCCTTGAACATCACTGGATGCAGCTGAAAATCCAAAAACTAAAATAAATTTTAAAAACAAAAATCATTCGGGGGGCACTGGAGCTATAGTACAGCAGGTACGGCATTTGCCTTGCACATAGCTGACCCGAGTTCGGTCCCCAGCTTCCCAGATGGTCCCCTGAGCACCACCAGGAGTGATTCCTGCGTGCAAAGCCAGGATTAACCCCTGTTAACCACCGGGTGTGACTCAAAAAAAAAAATCATTGGGGGAGGTTATAGCTAACTCAAGTTTATATTGAAAGTGATTGAAAAAGCCCTAGTTGTGCTTCAGTGCACTTCTTGCTAAATACCACTCTTAGTCATAGTAAATTTTATAATTTTATAAGTTTTATCGATTTGCTCGAGTGGGCCCAGTAACGTCTCTATTGTGAGACCTGCTGTTACTGTGTTTGGCATATCGAATACACCACACGGAGCTTGCCAGGCTTTGCCATGTGAGCAAGATACTCTCAGTAGCTTGCCCGGCTCTTCGAGAGGGGTAGTCACGTGCAAGGCAAACGCCCTACCGCCCGGGTTCGATTCCTCCGACCCTCTCGGAGAGCCCGGCAAGCTACCGAGAGTATCTTGCCCGCACGGCAAAGCCTGGCAAGCTCCCCGTGGTGTATTCGATATGCCAAACACAGTAAAAACAAGTCTCACGATGGAGGACAGTGCAGTGGTATAAGTTTTATAAAAGTTTTAATGGTAATATCTAATGATGCAAAATATAAGGTATTTGTATAATAATAATTAAACTATATATGGGTGATCATTATAAAAACTAGGGGGACAGGATACAGAGAGATAGTTCAGCTGGCTGGAGCACAGACTGTACGTGAGGAGGTCCAGGTTCAATCTCTGTCACCACATGTCATTCCTGAGCACCATCACTCAGGAAACTCTTTGCTGACCTACCTACCATTTTGACTGAGTCAAGTTGATAATGATGGTTGGGAGACTGTAAAGCATCTACTCACTCGCCCTGCTTTTTAATCAGAGGATACCTAGTCCCCAGTACACTTTGTTGGGCTATCTTTCCACCCAGGCACCTCCTTACCCAGATGGGAACTGTTATCCCAACTGGATTGCATTCCCTACAGACCCCCTCCTCACCCTTTGCTCTCTGAGTGAGCTCTAACACTCTGTCTACGTGCCCCCTTGCTGACAAGTACATACTTTGCCCCTGCACTTGCCAGTTTCCCTGCTGGACCCTTCTCAGCCCACTGAGCTTCAGTATCCTGGGCTGGGTTGCCCCTCCGAGGACATGAGTCCTCATCCCTGTTGAACTCCAGTACCTGGGCCCCGTCCCCCAACCTCCCTGGTGACAACTTTCTTTCCCCCACTTCCACTCCAGCCCACTGGAACCCCTGAAGCTCCCCATCTGCATGGACACACCTACTTCTCCTGGACTTACTCTGAAGGCTTCTGGACCAAATATTTAGGAAGATGAAGGATGTATTGAGATATATATATATATATATATATATATATATATATATATACACACATATATCAACCTCAAACAACTACAATTGTATTCCTTCCCAGGGTTGTTTCTGAAAACATGCTTTCGGGCTTATATATCTTTGCAAAGATGGGTCTCTAACCTTAAAAACTGCCTTCAGGGGGCTGGAGTGATAGCACAACGGGTGTTTGCCTTGCTCACGGCTGGCCCAGGTTCGATTCCCAGCATTCCATATGGTCCCCTGAGCACCGCCAGGGATAATTCCTGAGTGCAGAGCCAGGAATGACCCCTGTGCATCGCCGGGTGTGACCCAAAAAGTAAAAAAAAATAAATAAAAACTGCCTTCAGGGCTGGGAAGATAGTTCGAAGGGCTAGTGTCCCTCTTTGCATTTGTGGGAAACCTCTCCACACCCTCAGACTCCTGTGGCCCCTGCCCCCCTCAGTGCCACACTGCCAGAAACAACCACTTCAAGGGATGTGCCTGGGTTAGCCCCTGAGCATGCTGGGAGTGGTCTCCCCCACAAATATATGTGCCTTCATCCTGGGGGTATGAAATAGCTCAGAGGAGTAGAGCATGTGCCTGACACCCACAAGGCCCAGAGTCGGACCCCTTTGGATCCCTGTCATTAAATGGCTGCCAGGGAGAGTTATGAAGCTGGTTCTGCAGCCCCAGTAATTACCTTCATCCTTTAAGGTCCAAGAAGAAAATACTCATGGGGGGGGAGGGGGGGGGAAGCTTCTAGCCCTGAATAAGTCACACAAGAATCAACATTTGTTTCTTGCTTTCGCCTTGAGCTCCGAGAATAGTGCCTGACCTATTACATGAGTGAGTGGGTGGCTGAAATGGTAAGAAAGAAGTTAACAAGACCTACGTGCTCTCAAACATCTATATGAGACCAGAGGGAAAAAATGGATTTCTGAGTTGCTCATTAAGTACACAGGCAAGCCTCAGAATGAAGCTTTTTTTGTTTTTTGCTTTTTTAAGTCTTTTTGCCTAAGTAACCTTATTGAAGAAGAATCTTGTACAGCAGGTTCACATTTTTTATGTAATTTTGGTAACTGCATATCACCATTCAGTACTTGAAGTGACTTTTTTGTTTTCTTACGCTAATTGGCACCATGAATATAGACATAGTGGAGAATTTCCTCAACCTTTTTTGGTTTTAGTTTTGGGACCACATCTTGCCATGGTTGGGGACAGCTTCCAGCTCTGTGTGCAGGGGACCATGGGGTGCAGGAAATCCAATGCGGGTCTCCCAGTCCATTGAGCTCTCTGCTGCCCAGAACGATTGATTTTCACAAGTAGCTTCATCAGCTTTCACCGTGAATATGATTGGGAGGTAGCAGTGGGCCTTAACCAGCACTCTTGCCAGGTGCTCTGAGGCTAGCAGTTCACCAAACTTCTTGAAAACAAGTTCTGTACGATCCATACACAGTTCTTTTTCAACTTTGCCAGGGGAAGGAAGAAGGGGTTTGTCTCTACTACTAACAAAACAGGGAGACTGACAACTCAGGATAAACGGCCCTGATTGAAATGGACTATAGGGGGACCCGAGCGATAGTACAGCGGATAGGGCATTTGCCTTGCATGTCGCCGACCCAGGTTCAATCCCCAGCATCCCATATGGTCCCTCAAGCTCTGCCAGGAGTAATTCCTGAGTACAGAGCCAGGAGTAACCGCTGAGCATTGCTGGGTGTGACCCAAAAAGAAAAAGAAAAGAAATGAACTATAGCAGCTGACAAAGGTCAGCCTATGCTTCCGCCTGCTCCCTCATACAGGACTGGGGCACCCACCAGGCCATGTTCAGGGATGGGGGTTGGGTTTTTGCAGAGGGCTTCTATAGCCAGCTCATCCTACCCTTCTCTTGTTACACCTCATGCTTTTTCAAATTAGGTAAAACTCACCTGTAGAGAAATGTGTAGCTCACAGGTGTGCAGCTTAATGAGCTCTGACCGTGTCTGCTCAGATGGTAAACACTGCATGAGGAATAGTTCCTGCCCCGCCTTATATGAATCCACCGTTTTTTACTACAAAATTGATTTCTCTGAGGCCAGAGCGATAGTACAGTGGGTAGGGCATTTACCTTGCACATGACTGACCCAGGTTCTATTCCTGGCTTCTCATATACCCCGTGTACCACCAGGATTAACTCTTGAGTGCAGAGGTGCAGAGTGAGAAGTAACCCCTGAGCATCACCAGATGTGGCCCAAAAAGCAAAATAAAAAAGATTTCTCTGTCATAGAGGTGATCACGTTTCTTGTTTGCGGTAAAGGAGATAGAGATTTTGGGCCCAGTGAGTCTGTTTATGCATCTAGATATAGGCTAATCATTAATACAAGAAATCAGTATTGAGGAGATAGTATTCCTTGAGTGACATTGAATTTAAGTCAGTTTTATGTTTTGTGGGGGCAGCCTTCCAAGCAGCTCCAGGGAGGCCCAGGAGTCAGTCCCTGCAATACTCAGCCACTAGCCAGACAATTCAGTGCTTGGTCCCAATGAAATGGTGCGGCCCAGGCCAGAATGCTGGGGTCACCTAGACCATCAGGCCATATGGTACACTTACCCAGCAGTGTTTGGGTGACCATGCAATGCTGAGAATTGAATTCAGGTCCCTATTCATGCAAGGCACATGTCCTGACCACTGAGCTATTTCCAAAACCCCTCATGCTTTATGATATGAAAAGGTAATGAAGGTGACATAAATGCAGTAGACTGGAGGTAATAGAAGACTTTTTCATGTTTTGTAGTTTTTTTTGTTCTTCTCTAGCATTTCTGAATTAAGTCTCAGAACTTTTACAAGTGTTCAAATTATCAAAATTTTAAATTGCATCGTACCTAGGACCAGAGAGATAGTACAGCTGGCAGGATGCTTGCCTTGTACAAGGCTGACCTGAGCTCAATCTCAGTACCCCATATGGTCCCCCAAACCCCACCAGAAGTGATCCCTGAGCACAGAGCCAAGAGTAACC